TTACACTTACATCTTAGGTCCACTTGAGATTAATTTTTGTGTATAGTATGAAGCACAGATCTAAATTAATTCTTTATATGGTGACAGTTTCTGCACCATTTGTTGAAGAGATTATTCTTTGACTATTGAATGGTCTTAGCACATTTTTCAAAAATCAGTTTGCCATAAATTATGGGTTTATTCCTGGAATCTCAATTCTACTCCATTGATTCAAATGTCTTTCCACAGTGTTTTAATGACTTTAGTTTCATAATAAGTTTTAAAATTGGAACTTGTGAACCTTCTAGTTTTGTTATTTTCTAAGATTGTTTTGGCTATTTAGGTCATTTCCATTTCCATACAAATTTTAGGATCACCTTGTCAATTTCTGAAAAGAAAAACTCAGTTGGAATTTGAAAGAATTGCCTTGAATTTGTAGATAAATTTGGTGAGTATTACCCTTTAAAAATATTAATCTAATCTATGAACATGAATGTCTTTTTTATTTTGGTTCTTTATTTCAGAAGTATGTAGTTTTTCATCTCACTGCAGAAAAAAAAGGTTATCATCAAGAAATCAACCAATAACAAATGCTGGTGAGGCTGTGGGGAGAAAGGAACCCTACTCCACTGCTGGTGGGAGTGTAGACTGATAACCACTATGGAAATCATATGAAGATTCCTCAGAAAACTAAAAATGGAAATTCCATTTGATCCAGCTTTTCTGTTTCTAGGTATCTCCCCCAAAGAGCTAAAGATATCGTAGCGCAGTGATGTATGCATACCCATGTATATAGTAGCACAATTTGTAATATCTAATTCTTGGGAGGAGCCTATATGTTGATCAACAGATGTGCGGACACAGAAAATGTGGTATTTATACACAGTGAAGTACTACTCTGCCATAAAAAAGGATACACTTAAGTGATTTGTAGGAAAATAGATGCACCTTGAGATGATAATGTTAAGTGAAATAACTCAGATACATTAGATTATCACATGGTTTCTTTTATATAAAAAACTCAACCTATATCTATATCTGTATCTATCCCTCTCCTCTTCCTTTATCCCTCTCCTGTCTCTCTATTATCTATCTATCTATCATCTATCTTAGGGAAAAAAAAGAGAGAAAGAAAAGGCATTGTAATCCAGCCTGGACAATGTATCTAAAAGTGTCCCTTGCCTGGTTTTGTGGTGCACATTTATAATCTCAGCACTCAGGGAGCTGAGGCAGGAAGATTGCCAGGAGTTCAAGCCCAGCCTAGGCTACAAAGTGAGTTCAAGGCCAGTCTGGATTACAGAGTGAGACCCTGTCTCAAAACAAACCCAAATAAATAAAAATAAATAAAAGTATGTCTGTATGAACCACATCAATAGCCTTCTTCCCATTAGCTTTTGACTTGGTTTGGCCAAGGAGAATTGCCAGTATACCAGAGGGAAAGAGGAAAGATAAGGTCCAATGTATATTCTTCTATTCCTTTCCCCACAAGATCACCTTAATCCTTCAACAAACTCACAACCGAAGGCATCCAAGTATACACGACTCACTTCTGCATGATAAGATTTCAGCTATTAGATTACTGAGCTATTTGTGGTTCCCTACATTTATGCTTTTATAGATAATCCCTTTGTAAATGAACCATCTTCTAATTGTTGTCAAGTGTGCTATCTATTTCTTGTTTAGAAGCAAGTTTGTGTTATGTACATTCACGCTTGCAAGGGATACATTGTGGAGCATAAACTATGAGACTTAGAACTTATCATACCTTTCTTAAACATTTTGAATCCCCCATCAACCTTCCTTCCTTGTAGCCTGCACCTAAAGAACTTTGTGAAGTAGTCTTTTGAGTTTTTTCCCCTTCCCTTTTCCATCCATCTTATCCATCCTCACTTCCTACACACACACTCTTCTACTTTCTGCCTAGATAACAGCAGAATGAAAGCTGGATGTGGTAGTGGTGTACACCTGTAATCCAGCCTCTGGGAAGCTGAGGCAGGAGGACCACAAGTTCAGGCCCAACCTGAACAAATTAGTGAGACCCTGTCTCAAATAAAATAAAAAATGGATAAGCTCAGTCCAAAGACACTGAGTTCATTCCCTAGTACTGCAGAGAAAATACTTCTGAATGATTTGATTAAATTACTCCAATAGCTGGGCATGGTGGCGGATGCCTGTAATCCCAGCACTCAGGAGGCTGAGGCAGGAGGACTGTTGTGAGTTCAAGGCCAACCTAGGCTGCATAGTGAATTCAAGGCCAGCCTGAAGTACACAGTCTCAAAAGCAAACAAGGAAATTACTCCAATGAAAAACCTAGATGACGGAAATATATATGGGATCAAAAGATACCCCTCCCCCCAATCAAATCATATTAGCCTAGTAGATCTGAGGCCAGGGCAGCTTCCAAGGAAAGAAGAAATTCCTGCTGCAGCATAGCCTATGTGTAGAATAAAGAACTGGGATTACTTGTCTTTAACTGCAATCGCTACTAGGGATTTGCGCTGGGTGATAGTCGGTAGGTGGATGTACCCTGAAATCACTTGGCCAGGCTTTTATCAAGTATTTGCAGAGTTTCTGTTTAGATCTTGTTTCTACTCCCCCTCCCCCAAAGTTTCTCTTAGTGTTACTGTACAGCATAAACAGGACAATTTATGGCCAGGCTGAACCTTGATGAGAAAAGGAACGCTATTCTAACTGCGGGGCTGCAGCATGGAGACTGTGAAAGGAAAACACAGCGCTCAGAAATGAAACGACCTTCGGCATCACTTTCCTGCGGGTGAAACTCCAAAAGTAAAGGAAAAAAATTCAAATAACAACAACAAAAGAGGGGCTGGGGATTTAGCTCAGCGGCAAAGCGCCTGCCTGGCAAGCGCAAGGTCGTGAGTTCGGTTCCCGGTACCGGAGAAAAACAAACAAAAAAAAAAACAACAACAAAAGAAAACAAAAAACAAAAAAGAGTTGTGGGAGAAAAACAGTCTTCAATTAATAGTTTGTCAATTGTCGAGTTTTCCATCCACGTGGCTGCCCAATATTCCTGTGGAAAAATCAATGATATGCCCTAGAAAGAAGAAATCACACATTTCTTTTTATTTCAATTTATTGCTGTCAACAACTCCCCAAGACAACATAAATGTTAGTTATAAATAGATGCCAAGGAATATTACTTTAGGGTAATGATTCCAGAGGAGTGGAGGGGAAAATCTAGCACAGACAATGCCATGAAGGCATCTGGAAGTAGTACTTCTTATTGACAATCAAATAAAATCAAGTGTATTGCAACACATGGTCTACAGATCAAATCCTGGTATGACACAATATGGGAGATGATTTAAATAAATCAACAAGAAGTTCATTGAACAGTTAGAATCGAACAGTAAATGAACATATTCATTAAACCAGTTCTGTATAATAAAGTGACTTTTTTTCATGTCCTAGCCGACAACCCAAACTATCTTAATGCTTTCCAATACTTCTTTGAAGTTGTGGACACGGTAGTGTCCATTGAATGAGAAATATTGCATGGAAAAAGATTCATAATTCCTTGCTGAATAGTCAACGTATTTAACAGGATATTGTATTATATATAAAATATAGCACCAGTACTTTCACTCCTGTGAAATGTCAACTATTTTAACTAAAATTTGATATATGTTTCAAAATACCTGGGATATCATTCACTGATTTAAAAGAAGATGATACTTCCTGGTAAGCAGCAGCTCAGGATGGAAAGAGCCCTGGACCTGGAGTCAGATGCAATGCAGGTTGTGTTCTCTACACGTTCTCTAATAGCCATTCCAGAGTCAATGTGCTATTATCTTTTACTAATGAATCTCGAGAGCTTGATTGTTGGAGGTAATTTTTAAATGGTCCTAAGTTATTGTCTTTTTCATTTTTAAAGGTGAGTTTTGATAATTGAATTTGTTCAGGAAATAGTTTGGGAGGAGACAGTCTCATTGTTTTTTAAACATTTTTTCGTACACATGCTAGTGTGTTATCTTCTGTTATTTGTTAATAGCAGTCAGGCTTCCTCTGCTCTGTCAATACAACTCAGAAGACATCTGAGAAGGAAATTCCAAAGAGCAACAGCAGTTCTTTCTGCCACAGAGCCAAGAGAAAAACACCCCTGGAGGGACTTAGACTGGTGCAGTGTGTTTACATAACTGGCTCCATTCCCAAGATTAAATAGTTTAGAAGTTTTGAAATGAATTTACTTAACCAAATGTTGCTTTTGTTCTCAACTTCCCCTTTCTCCAACTCAACATAAGTTACATTTTCGTATCAATATCTGATCGGTAGAAACCACAAACCTAAAATGTCCGAAACTAATCTGAACAACATCCTCTCTAAACTTGTTTTTTTTTCTTTTTTGTCTTTTTGAGACAGGGTCTCACTACGCAGTTCAGGCTGGCCTGGAGCTCACTTTAGAGCCCAGGCTGGGCTTGAACTCTCAACGATCCTCCTGCCTCAGCCTCCCGTGTGCTGGGATTACAGATGTGTGCCACCGTGCCGGGCCTCAAACCTGTTTACTTCCTATACTCAGTCTTTATCAACAATATTAACATCTTGCTGATTTTAGCTAAACTCAAAAACCTGAGGTCACTTTTTTACTTTTTCTTCCCATTCTGCAGAATTCTCCTGTATCCACTTCACATTATGATAGCTAAAACAGTCTTTCTAAAATGCAAATGTGATCACGGGTCTTCCCTGACTAAAATGCTTTAAGGATTCCTTTTCACCTACTGAATAAAATTCCAAGTCTCGGAACACCTCTCTAGCCGTTTCCTGACACTTCCTGCCATTCTTCCGAGCTCTTTACACTCTACTTACATTAACTGCTCAAAGTTACTAAAACACACGATGGCCCTTTCATGATTGTGGCTTTTCATGTGAAATTTCCTCTGAAGCCAGGCGTGGGCAGTAAGATTGCAAATTTGAGCCCTTCCGGGCAATTTAGCAACTTAGTGAGACACTATCTCAAAGTAAAAAATAAAAAAGGGCCTGGAGATGTAACTCAGTGTAAAGGTCCCAGATTCAATCTCCAGTACCACAAAAACAAACAAAATTTGAAAAACTCCCTCTCTTCCTTTCTCAGCTGGAGCATTTTTCCTTATGTTCCACGCAGCATTCCTCCTAGCAGCTTTGTGACTCTCGTTGTGCCATCTCGTAGTTACTTCTCCACTCATTCGTCTTTGCTACCGGACTGCCTGTTCCCTCGTTTGCAGTGATCACTGTAGAGGAGATTCAGATGCTGGACGCTTCTAAGTGTCATTAAAGCATGCTTTGGACCCTGAGACACTGATCTGCCCACCCATGCTGGCTTCCTGTCTTTTTCCCAGCCCTCCGCCTGGTGGAGGTGTTAAGTAGCAATGGAATGGTCACATAGCCAAGATAAGACAAAGGGACTTGGCTGATCCACAACCTGGACAAACATCTGCCCCGTGTCATTTTCAGAGTAAATGCAAAACTGGCTAATGAACTTCGGCTCCAGGGTGGCCTGGCCGGAGCACTCTACCTTGCCCTGTATTAGTTGGCAGACTCTGATGTCAATTCCCAGGACTGCAGCTGGGGTTCAACACACCTATCCCTGATGGGCCCCAAGAGTATCACACCACTGTCAAAAAACCCAAGAAGAATTACCCAGTGGAGCTCTTCCATGTTTTCTCTGCTACCCGAAGCTCAGATAAACCTGTCTGCAGGAATGTTTGGCCTTGGGTGATTATACCGTAGAGCAAGGAAGGAATCAACAATCCATATGCTAAGTGTTCTCCCCAATTGCAGTAAGCCCTACCTTCCCAAAACAGTCACACAGAGGCCTTCATCTTTATCTGAGAACAATATCCAGTTAGCACTGCTTCCTATCCCAGTTGAAGATAACCTAATCTTGGAATCAGCGTTTGGTTGCCTCTGAAAGGCAGCCAGTTCCTCGAGTACCCTGGGGTATAGATTGCTATTGGTTACGATGGCCCAGTGGTGTAGTCTGGGTTGGTCTGAGTGATGATTCCCAGGCAGATTAAAAAAGGAAGGGAGGTAGATTATCAGGTTGATTGGGAGGAATCTTATCTGTGAAATGAAACTTCAGAAAACATGATGAATTTGTAAGCATTGTAGACATCCTCCTGACCATAGCTATTGTGAATTTTATCAGATACTACGTTTACGCTACAGTGAGATTTTTTTCTTTTTTTTTTTGAGACAGGGTCTTGCTACATAGTTCAGGCAGATCTCGAACTCATAGCGATCCTCCTGCCTCAGCCTCCTGAGTTCCGGGATTACAGGAGTGCGCCACCATACAGTGAGATTTTTAACAGCAAGAATGACTTTTAGTTTTAAGTGATAGGAAAATAAATTAATATAATCTATTTGTCATCAGGAGAGACTATCTTTAAAAAATCAAACAGCTCCCATAATATCACTTCTTACACATGTCAAAGGCAAGGAAAAATGATCTGTCTTAAGTGTCCATTTGACTGTGTCTTAATTGAAGAAGAATTCAGGTGCTACCAGGGATAACATGAGATAAAACAGAAGTGGAACTGGTAGGAGTGGCCTCCTGAAGTTACTAAGTTTCTATATTCAAGGTGAAGATTACCCTACCCACGAAACGATCATTGATGACATCATTTATGATGCCTTTGCCTTTCAGCTGGCACTGCACAGGCACCGCTTGGTTCTTCACCACATCTGTAAAGTGCATTGCCACCAAAGGGGAAGTGTAGTTAACCTGTAGATGAAAGAACAATGAATCTAAGTGGGAAGAGGTGATAGGAGCGAAGTGTTTACTTACTCAGCGCGGGGTGGGAGAACCTCCCCAAAGGGAACTGAGTACATCTCATGATGCCAAATCACAAATGGTCACAGCAACCGGACACACTGTCCCTGCCTAGGGAAAGTGTGACGGCATTACATATTTTCTCAGAAGTCACTGTCAGATGTCAGACCTTCCTCTGGGGGAAACCAATTCTGCCTCAGAATGATTCGATTTTCTGGATATCAGACCATGAATCAAACCAGAACTAGTATCTATCAAGTCCCTATGCTGGAGATGAAGCCTTCACCGTCGCAAGGCTTCAAATGGGGAAACAGGGGAGTGTGATTATTTGGACACAAACACAGATAGGAGTAATTTGTCTGCTTCTGGCTCTGCCACTAATTAGCTGTATGGCTTTGGGAAAGTCACTTGTACTCTATCAACCCCAAATTTCCCATCTGCAAACTGAGGGAGAGTTAGACTAGACCATACACATGATTTTCTCAGACACAAAAAACCATGTTGCTGTAATAAGAATTTGGGGAGGGAGCCCCGGGTTTTGGCCATCAGCTATTCATCCATCTATTACTACCTGCTGCCCCCTAATTCTCAGAAATCCCGGGCAGTCCTTCCTTTGTCTCTGAGCCCTTTTGCACATCAAAGAAGGAAGGAGATACAGCTTACGTGTGTCAGTTTGCCATAGTAAGGGTAGTAGCGGAGGTCAAAAGAAGCCGACTCTGGGTAATAATTGATGGCTCGGATGTCATTTTCATCACCTCTCTGTAAGCAAAAGCAGGTATATGTAGGATGGTGGGTCATAAAGTAAGTTGGAGTCAAGCCTAAAGGGACTTGTGCTCCAGTTGAAATCTCTGTGTGACTCACAATCAACTGTCCAAGGAAGACCACAAAGACAGAATAGGACAGAGGCCAGCTCTGACCTCTCCCTAGAGGAACATTACCTTGGTTTTTCAGTTCACAGAATGCTGAAACAGAAGGCACGTGCTGTGGAGGTGAACAGAACTCTATGGCTCTGTTCTGGCTTTTACAGAACCTGACAGTTTCCAAAGGGCTTGCAGAACCTGGTGCTGCTTTAGAAAGAAGGTCCACCACTCGAGCCCCTCTCCAAAGCATCATACTGGGCCTGACACCCAGTCTTAGACTCTGGAACTGAGGCAGGCATAAGCTCAAACACATTTATTAAATCCCACTTCACAATTTGTGCACTGCAAGCATGGTTCTATTGGAAGCCAGATCATATACACAGGGACTGAATGCTTGGGCACAAACCTACAGCTGGCTCACCACATTCTTGGCAGTGTTTAATTACAGTAGTTGGAGTCAATAGGACAAGCAAGAGGGATTCAGGTAATGGAAATGATTAAACAGGGCTACTCTTATCACATCATGTCAGGTAGAGGGCTGCCCTTTCTGCCAATGCATTAGGCTTGCCCTAAATAGCACAAAGCTAATATGGACAAATAGTGCATCACTCTGAGGGAATTACTCACTAGGACCATGCGACTGCATCTGTTAATAAACTCTACTATACTATACTATAATTGTTCTTGGTATAAACTGAGCTCTCCAAAATTTATTCTAGTCATTACCTCATCCTGCTTGACTTGCACAAATAGGTGTGGATTTTATGGGTATTGTTTGTGATAGAATGTATAAAGACTCAATACTTGTTTTTGTTTTTTTTTTAAAGGATAGTTCTCAGCAAGGTACAGCTTCCATTTGAGAACTACAAGGAGAACTTGATCCAACTAATAAACTAGTTTAAAACCGAGGACGAGGGGGAGTTTAGCTCAGTGGTACAGCACTCAGCCAGCATGTGCAAGGCCCTTTATTCAATCCCCAGCACAGAATAGAAAAAGCTAGTTTAAGGCTGAGTTGGTCTTTATGATTTATTTATATATTCTTCTAAAAACCAATGAGATTTATTTTTCATGAATGGCCTGTAGAATCAGTTGCACTAGTTGATAGTCACATTTCACGTGACTACTTACACACACACACACACACACACACACAGTCCATGTGAATAGAACGAATGACCTTCCAACTCGTTCACCTGGCAAATATTGCCTGAGCTTTCTAAGCTCATCTTCAGCATCACCGTCTCCCACAAGGAACTGACCTTTCTTCCTGTAATGCCTCCACTGTACCTCCTGATTTCAGAGACAGAGTCACATTGATTTCAGCACCCCAACACCTAGCACAGGACGTGGTATTTTTAACAAGTGATCAATAAGTCTTTGCTCAGTGTAAGACGCTGGCTGAATAAATGCTACCTTTTGCTGTTTTCTGATCTGCCACCATGAAGTCTGCAGTTATGAGCTTGCTTTCTAGTGCTGTACTGAGAATGGGAGTGCCTGGCCTAGCACGTTTACAAGACGACAGTCCAGTGCTGGGGAGTGCAGTCCATGTCATGGAACAGAAGGGCGTCACTGCCTGTTTAAGAAGCAAATCCAGATCTAGGGCTTTTGCCTACAAAGGAGCTAATTGGTGCGGATGAGATAGGAGTTAATGGTCCAATTAATTAGCATATTAATGGAGTTTTGCTTATACTTTCCTTGTAGTGACACTGGTCATTGCAGCAAAATGTGAAATTCGGTTTTAAAATCAGGGACTAATCACTCTAATGAAAGCTGCTTGTTTAGTTCAAAGAAACAAGCAATTAGAGCTAAAAGCAAAAATGTAAACAGAATGCCGATTAATGACTTGGCACATTATTGTTTCCTGCTGTGGCCCCTGGGTGAAGTTCAGTTTTTGCCTTTCACAGGTATAAATCACATGTACGTGCACATGCACATGTGTGTGTGCACGCGCGCACACACACACACACACACACACGAATTGAGTGTGTTCTGGAAATTAGAAACTCTGAAGGCACTAAGGGCAAGTATAGTTATGAAAAAAAGATTACCACTTCCCTAACCCGCAATCCTTGGGAGGAAGGAACTACCCTTTTATAGGAAACAGACGTAGCAGTAACAACGTGTACTCAGAAGGACACACCGTACCTGAACTTTGCAGGAAACCTTCACGGGATCTCCAAGCTCAGGAAGAAAGCCTGCAATCTGGCAAAAGAAAACCAGTATTTCTTTTCAAACAGATTTGAGAGTAACACTGAGGGCTTTTTCTTCCCCGACCCTGAGTCATCTTCCACAGGCATAAATTTTATGTATGTCTCCCTCTGAAAAAGGTTACAAACAATCCAGGCCTGCTGGCGCACACCTGCAATCCCAGCTGCTCAGGACACTGAGGCAGGAGGATTACAACTTCAAGGCCAACCTGGGCAATTTAGGGAGACCCTGTCTCAGAATAAAACTTAAAAGGACTGGGGCTGTAGTTTAGTGTTACAGTGCTTGCTTGGGGCTAGTCTAGCATGAGGAAGGCCCTGGGCTCTCTCCCCAGCACCTCCAAGTAAATAAATAAAAAGAAAGAAAGAAAGAAATGTTATTATTTTTTTTTTTTTGGTACCAGGAATCGAACTCAGGACCTTGCACTTGCCAGGCAGGTGCTTGTGCCGCTGAGCTATATCCCTGACAAGAAATGTTATAAACAGCAGAAGGTGCAACTCCAGAGTGGTACAGCCCAATTTATTTCCTGTTTTATTTATGCCTGATATCTATATGCAGGAAAAACTGTAGCAAGATAACCATAAAGTTATAAGGAACTTTTGGGTAAGGCTCTGCCACACCTAAACCATGACAAGAGAGAAGGAAAATGCTTTCCTTTGTCTCTCTGTCTCTGTCTCTGTCTCTGTCTCTCTGTCTCTCTCCTTTACTGGGGATGGAATGTCGTACTAAGAGCTCGACCACTGAGCTACACCCCCAGCTCATTTTATTTTTTACTTTGAGACAGGGTCTCACTAAGTAGCCCAGGCTGTCCTCAAACTTATAATCCTCCTGCTTCAACCTCCTAAGTAGCTGGAATTATAGCTGTGTAGCAGTACACCAGCTGGAAAATGTATCTTTAATGATACAAGTACTGTCCCTCACCCAGCTCCACATTCCCGGTACCAAAAAAAAAAAAAAAAAGTCCTTTGTTCCGAACAGCTCAGGACCCCACTCTTGACAGAGTCCATCAAGGAGCAGGTTTGAGAGCGGGAAAGAAGAGTGGCGACAGGAAATGTTCAGGGAGAGAAACCAATCAGTAGATTTGGCAGCTTGTCTACATTCCTGATGCTGTTCATAAAAATGGCCAAACCTGCAGTGTGTGAGGATCAGAGCCCAAAAGAAATGGAGTGTTTTCCTACCTAGCTCGTCCACTTATCACCATCAGATAGCAAGGGCTAATATACCCTGTTCATCTTTAGGAGGATGCAAGGCTGTCCAGTAGAGTATCCAAACGTAGGGTCCTCCAGACCAGAGCAGTTCTTCAGGAAGGAGCGCTTAAATTGGCAGGCTTTCTTGTCCTCATCCTCATTGCCATCTTGGATGAAGTACTGCCCCGGAGGACAGTCTACATTCATTTCCTCTTGAAGACTATCGTTGTAACCTGAAGCACGTGTGGATGGCAAACGGTCATGTTAGATGGGCGCTCCAGGGGAAGGCTGTGTTTTCAGTAGTCCTCACTTCCTGATTTCCTTCATTCAGCTTGCTTCTATCCTCCTGAAAGCCCAGTCTACCCTGAGACTCCTAACCTGCCATTAGGTGCCAAGGGTTTTCACAGCAGTATCCCTCCAGGAAGCCTTCCTGGCTAGTCATTTTAACCCACGTGGTTGCCTGCTTCGTGCTTGTCCTTTCCTCGGACCTTCTAGGTCTGCATCTCTGGGCAATGTGTTGGCCACCTTATTATCAGTGGTAAAACTCAAACTGTACTGTTGGATCCACAACTGCAAAGGTTGTGACCTGGGTGTGATATTATTGAGAGGCAATTAGTAATTTTAAATGAATTCCAATTGAATATGCCTTTATTTTTCCTTTGACAAAGCCTCATTCAATTGAAGTCTTTGTTATAAACTTTTTTTAGGAGCAAGAACTATGCTCACATAATAACTTTCTAAATACAAACTGCAATCATGTGCTTATTGTTTCTGTTGAGGTAGTCCCTTAAAAATACTTTGACATGGGTATGACCCTTATTGCAAAATCACAGTCCTCATGGGAGTGAAACCGATACTCTGGGATGGCTATTTCAGAGATGTGTTCTTTTTTAGCAGGTCATATTATCTACTCTTAGGAACTGAAGACTCAAGGCCTTTTCTAATGTCCCCTGACTCCACTATTAGGTCAGAATTGGTATTTCTTCACCTACTCATTTCTCAGAGGGATTCCTCAGCAGAGATTTTGGCAATGTACATATTTGCAACAGCATATAAGCATTTTGAAAGAAGATACTGTCCTGACCGCTATGCCCTAAACATTTCTGTGACCAAAAATGGAACTACAGGGATTCAGAAAGAACCCAGCTGCTGTCATTCTACAGGTGAGAAATCTGAGGCTCAGTCTTACCCAAAACAACATTAAGCGTTCCTGGCATAAAGCGGAGTTTCTAACTCTTGGTCAGATGGCAACAGCATAAGTTATAGTTATGAAAAACAGCACTTCTTAAGCTTTAAAGTTCATTCAACTCACCTGAAGGTTTTGTTAAAAATGCAGATTGATTCAGTAGCTCTGGAGTGGGGCTCAGGATCTTGTCTTTCTAAAAAACTCCCAGGTTATACCTACGCTGCAAGTCCCTGGATAACACTTTTGAGTAGCAAAGGCATCAAAATGTCCAGCTTAAACGCTGCTTCTACTGCTGTATTCAGTCAAGCCCCTTCCCCTTGTGAACCTCAGTTCCCTCAGTTTGTACAAGGACGACCACGGACTCTGTTATGAAGGGTTAAAGTTGAGTGGTAAAATTTACACATTTTAAAGAACACTTCCTGGCATGTGACACAAAATCATTACCCTCCTATTTCAGGGTGCATTCTGCTAGCTATTCCTACACCCCTATTTCAGCCAGGGCAGGGCAGCGAGGAGGTAGGCACTGCTTCTTTCCCACAGTGATACAGCTCACCAAAGGCAAACCCCACGGGATTTCTCTTTGCTAGCTGGATAAATACAGAGCTTGTGTGCTCCAGGTTTAACCTTATCCAAGCTGCTACCACCTCCACCTTTACCATGTGGAAGGGCCTCCCACAAATCCATTTTGTTCCTGAGGAGATATTTTCAAAATACTTCAGATCAAAATGTTGGAGTGATGCCACCCAGAGGTTATTCCTCTCAGTCCTTTCTGGATTGCTATTAAATAAAGACACTGCTTTCTTCCTTTAAGAGAGCCAATTTCCAAGACAGGAGTTATCTCACCTTGAGACAGTATAGGAGGCAGAAATCTCCCAGCTCTGGAGAACATTCTCCTTTACTCACCACTATCACCCCCCAGAATTATTTTTTTTAAATTAGGGATTGCTATTGAGCCACCTAGATGTACTTAGGATTTATCTAAGTGCTATAGGGTGCTCACGAAGAGGAAATAAGTTGTCTGCCTCGAAGAAGTTACTGTCTCGCTGCAGAGTTGGCTTATGTGGCTTTCACAGTAGCATGCAGTCACACACTAGAGCAGTTTTGATTGGATGAAGGGTGCTGAGGGCAATGCAAAGTAAGGAAAGACCATGACAGGTTGAGGTTACTAGGACTGGAATTTCTGGACCAGGAGAATTTTGAATTCCCACTCACTGCCTCTCAGGAGAGTTTTCCGCTATTCTGAGGAACTCACCTTGGAGAAAGCCATTTAGGCTGATCACATAATGCTGCCAAGTGTCAGGTTCAGAAACGTTGAAGTTGAAGTTAAGGCTATGGGCGAACGGCCTGATCATAACTCCTGGCAATGAAAACAGGTCTTGGATACATTAACCCATTATTGGATAATTTTTGTATTGATTCCCATCAAACCATTTCCCCCTAGATGATCAAAAATGAAAAGAACCATAATTTGCCAAGTACCATTTTACTTTTACTTTTCATAATTGAATCTCTATGTTATTACTGTGAACACCCGAAGTTAATTGAGATTGAGCATGCTGTGAAAGCAGATTTCTGTCCAGCAAGTTTCGACAACACAGGTCATTTGGACTCACTCACCAGGAGTCGTCGCCCGCTCAGTGAAGGTCAACATGCAAGGGCTGATGGTCACAAACAGCATGTACATGCAGAGAGTGATCACAGCAGCCAGAGAGGCGTAGAAGAAGAAGTAAATGAATAAAATCAGGCCTGCAGAGCAATCAGAGATGACAGTGGTCAGTGCTTGCCGATAAGCCCTGCCTCCCCATTTGAACTCACAAAGCAGAACCAACCCAAACACAAGATAGAGTTGTTAATCCCTCAGATTCAGTATGCCCTTGTTGGTTCAGATTTCACCAATCAGGAATTGGTGAGGGTTGTGTCAGGGGTCTGACTGTAGTTTACCTTTATAGCATCTGCGATGGAAGGGCGTGCTGAGCACATGGTGATCATGAACAAGATTACAGGGGAGTGTAGTTTAAAGTACTGCAGAGGACAAATTGCTTGAGAGTCCTCTGGGCAACAGTTGATGTCCTAAGTACAAATCATTCTTCACTACTTATTAAAGCAGGTGCCCTGAAGAGTCCTAGCAGCTTGGTTCCAGTGATTAAATGTATTTGCAAGTAGTGCAAACAGCGTTTCTTTTCCCATAGTCTCTAATCCAAATTTTGATTAATTTCTGCTGGACTTGCCGCTAATCAAAGCAGTGATGTTTTACCCTACTTATCTCAAATCTTACTAATCTTCAGCAAAGTTTGAGTGGTTCTGCTTTTTAAAAAGAACACTAACACAGGGTGGGAAAGGGAGGAGGAGGAAATGGTACTTAATCACGGACATTCAGTGTCTGTGAACTGGGCAAGTTACAGAGCCTCTCTGCACCCCTGATTCATCACAGGTAGCTACCTCATGATCTATATCCCTAACGATATCTGAAATTCAGTCTTTTCTTACATCCTGTCTTGAGTACACCACTTTCTAGCTCTTTAATCTTCCACAAACTGTTCACTTCCCTGGGTCACAATTACCTTCTCTGGAAAATGAGAATAATAACAGTACTGCACTCATTTCTTAGCATTAAGTAATGTGTATAAACAGCATTGTACAGAGCCTGGCAGATATTACACATTATATAAGAGGCAAGCATCATCATTGTTATTATTATTGCTGTAGGACCAACTGAATGGTGAACAAGAGATTAGAACAAACTACATGACTTTGATGTACTCAAAACTGAATTCAAATACTAAACTTTTAATGAAACTATTAACCAAAGAAATATGACCAAAAAGGTATGAAGGAGGTGGGGGAGAAAAAAAACCCACAGTAACCCAACTGGAAATGGAACTGGCTGTGTTTAATAAGATGAACTAAAGCAGAACTAGAACACAAACACATTGATTCAGATGGAGTGCCTGGAGAAGAAACAACAGTGCTCGTCTGCATGTGGTACCTGGCTCCTGCACCCTGGCTATCCTAATGGGATGTGCCTTGTGCTTCCTCCTCCTCCACTCATCCATCCTCATCTCCATCCTGGGAATAGGTCAACAGCTGAAGCCATCCCAATTCAGTTTCATGCATGAACATGAAGCAATGGAATACAAGTATATTCCTTTGGAAATATGTTCTTCCCCCCGCCAAGATATATGGCCAGGAAATTATAAATGACAGAATGGCACTAGCAGTAAGTTCCTTGAGCCTCACCTAGGAGGGGTTCCCTGGAGTCTGCGATAATCTATCTCACCTCCCCTGCAGGCAAAAAAGTGTGACTTCCATCTGAACCCACAGATCCCTCCAATAATGATCCTTTCTGCTCGAGATATTCATATTTTATCTGGGCCCCTCCTCTAGGTAACAGGGTTCTCTGCTGAATGCCCCACCCAGGCTCTGATCAAACACTAAGGACCCATGTTCCCAATGGTTGACCCCTCCCACCAAAACAGCCCATCTGGGCCTGAGACTCAACCCATCAGGGCCTTGATTATTGTTGGAATTCATGCAGATGATGCACTGTCCCGGCAAAAGAATGGACTGGTGTTTGAATCCCAGCACTGTCACTTATAGTTACTGTGTGACTTTAGACAAGTTACTTACCCTCTCTAAGCCTCAGTTTCTGCATCTGCAAAATGGGGATAATAATATTACAACCTCATATGGTTCTTGTCAGTATCCAATAATATAACATATAGTTCCTTAGAATAAGGGTTGCCCAGCTACCAAAGAAAAAGCCCAAAGTGCGTTAACAGGCTGGGTGAATATGTTGGAAATGTTAATATCTAGGTTGGGACAGACTTAGTAATGCTCAAGTAGGCACCTAGCCAACAAGAAAGAGGGCCACCTGGGAATTAATATTACCACTTGCCCTTTGGCAAGGAGTAGCTCAATAGAAGCCTGAACTGCTGGGTTCTCCTTAGGCCTGCTACTCAGCGGTCTGCTATGGTCTCTCATGCAAGTGTGTCCACTGCCATATCTTCCCCAGGTACTTGAAACTTCCTCCCTCATCCCTGCTTATTGTCTATGGATTGTCCTCCACAGGAGAAATTTAGATCAGCTCAGTGGGTGAGGTTCCAACAGCTGGCTCTTAGGGGTTAATGCATGGCTCCTCACCCCAGAATCGTGCTTGCATTGCCCAATGCCTGTTTTTGCAGTATTGTTTAGGCAGTGGAAAAACAGCCGTGTTCCTTTTGGAGCCCCAGTGAGTGTCCAACATTTGTGTTCAGCTTCAAGAACGTCAGAATATCACTTAAAAGGTGCATTTGTTCCAGTTGAGAGTTCGAGGGATGGGGAGGGGGGGGGCTGGGAGCAGAGGAGGGGTGACAGGAGATGGAGGGTGTTCAAAGTCCCGCACTTGGTATTCCTAGTTCCATGCAGCGGGGCTGGATGTTTCACCCTCACTGGGCTGAATTAGTACCATTATTTAGGAAGACGAGAATTATCCGCTAAAGGGGCCTCCGGAAGGCATGGCCATCACTCAGCAACCTATACCCTTGGTACTAAGGGACTCCTTTCATCCATGGCGTCCTGTTTTCTCCTATGGATTGAGATCCAAGCCAGCAGCTGTTCTGTTTTTCTGGGCTGTGCAGTGTGTGGCAAGTGTGAACTTTGCTATGGGCAAAACCTGAGAAGTTTTCAGGCCCAGCAGTTACAGTTTAAAGAGTAGGTAGGGGGGCTGGGGATTTAGCTCAGCGGCAAAAGCGCCTGCCTGGCAAGCGCAAGGTCGTGAGTTCGGTTCCCAGTACCGGAGAAAAAAAAAAGAGTAGGTAGGATCCTGGGAAGGGAGTGGTAGGGAGGCTGTGAACTAAAAATGGTGTGAGCATGTGGTATAAGAATGAGAACCTAAGGAATAAAGTCTGCTCTTGATCAAGCAACACAGACGCCCAGTCTTAATCTTTGGTAATGATGTTCTTAAACCTAATTCCCCCGTGTCTACATGGGAGAATTAAGCATCCACAAGCTGTGGTCAGGGACAGGTCTTTGGGTTCCCCTCATCTGACATTACTAGGTGACAAGACAAGGCTTTATCAGGTTAGTAGGGACTTGGTTCTCATTTCCTAGAAAAAGTCTTCTGCATAGTACATTTTTTTCTGGTACTAGGGATTGAATCCAAGACCGTCTCACTGAGCCACATTCCCAGTCCTTCCTGCTAGGATTAGTACTCTCAACTTTATAACTGTAATACTGGAGTGTGATGCTGACCTTGTAAGAGAGGAAAGGCAGGCACTGTTTCCCTCATTTGACAGATGGGGAGACTGAGGCTAAGAGAAGGTAAACGATAAACCCAAAACTCACATGGATAGAAAGTGACAGGGCTGGGACTTAGGGAAAAAAAATCCTGTCTTTTCAATTCATTTTCACTGTTTCTCTGCATTGCATACTGAGCCCAGTGGATTTCAGTCAAGTCCGTTCATCTATTTATTGAGTTTGTTCAGATGGATCTGTCCACAGTCCAGGCATTTCTCTAGGCACTGCTGACTTTATGTGCAATATTAAGAGAGGTTTTCGGCCAGTGTATGGTAAAGGATCCCTGGGCACCATGCCAAAAAGGAAACGACACCAGACTGGGGCATTGGGATGAATGGGACTTACTCCAACTCTGACCTGTTTGGGCCAGAGACATCCTTCTCTCTGGATCCCACAGGTATTTGACCATGATCTGTAATTTCTGCCGCCAAGCATTGCCTATGGGCTGGCCCTGACTCTTTTCCTCCTCCTCCTCCTCTTTCTCTTCCTCTTCTTCCAAATCAGGCGCCATCATCACAGGAGCCTCTTCTGCTGCTTCCTCCTCTTCGTCTGCTAAGTAGTTCTGATTCTCTTCACCCTGATCATCCTGGAACAGGGACAAAACACAGTCCCCTTTTTGAAAAAAAAAAAAAAAAAAAAGCCCCATGGCACACCCCACCCACCAAAAATAAATGGAAACAACTTGCTATTTGGAGATCCTTCAAATTTCCACTTCTTCATAAACATACCCATTGTTAGGAGAGGTGGGTTTTCTTTCTGTTCTTTTGGAGGAAATACCCTTTCTCTGATTAATATGGAATCAGTACTCTTTCCATAGAGATACAAGTTTTATTCTCAGCTTCTGGCATTTGGGCTCTTCTGCTAGGACATCTCATGTCACTGCTCTGTCCTGAAACCCGGGCCCTCCTCTTAACTTTGACCTGTCAACGCAGAATTGAGCTCTCTCTAGAAGATGGAGTAGTCTTGGACGTTCATGTGTATGACTGAAAATTCTCAGTTCAAGCCTGTTTTGTTCTAACTCCCTGTACACGTTCAATTGTTCAACCTCACCATCCCAAGTTGTGCCTAAAAAGCATCTGGGATGGGCACTGGAGTGGGAGGCCAACTATTGCACCCTTTCTCAAAACTCAGACTACCTTCCCGACAGAAGCAAGGGGTGGGGATCTATTTGCTACTTCTCTAACTGCTGGCATAGCTGGAACCCCTTCGTGCCTGCAGCTGCATGGACCAACTACCTGAGAGTTGAGACCCCCGATATTCTTTCCTTAATTTCCCCTGTACCCTCGGCAAAAAGCTGGACATGCAGCAAGGGCTGATTGACTGATTGCAGCCATTACTTGAGATTTGAAACTGTAATCTTCTCTGAGTGGTTCTGAGAAAATGAAACAAAAAGGAAAAAAAAAGAAGAGAAAGAAAAACTCAGATTTCAAGTGGTGTTTTAAATGCCTTCCAAACACAGGCTGGAGGGCTGTTGTATCTTTTCTCTTTAAGGGTTTGCCAAGGCTCACTGCCACATTGGAAAATAAGGCCACCCTCCGTTCTCTCTGCTGTCCAAGTCTGAAGAGTGGTGGGGCTTGTGCACCTGTTAGGGTTAGATATGTCAAATGGTCAGTGCCAAATCTCTCTGCTGATTCCCTGCCCTCTCTCGCCTCCCTGCCTGATTCCTCAAAGGCCACTTAGAGGGCACACTGCTAAAAAATGCTGCCTTTGGTGGGGTGTTCATGAAATTGGAATGTTCAGAATCTGTAAAAGTCATACAGAATGACGAGGCTCTATTCTCACCATTCATGCTGCTCAGCACTGTGTAGCTGTTGATTATAAGCGCACTTGAATTGCTCTCTAATTCATTCAAATGTACAGCTGTACATCACGCACACCATAGCGTAACTGACAGGGATGTCCAAGATTTGTTTTTCCATATGAGGCCCAGAGAGGGGATAGGATTTAGCCAAGCCATGGAACAAATTTATGACATAACTGAGTCTCAGAACCTATGTCTCTTGGTACTCTGGACAATGAAGTTTGTCCTCCATTACATTGAGCACAAGTGCCTAGAGGTGGCTTAGCAGATTTATGAAGCACAATAACATCCTAGCTTCTGTGCTCCCAAGAGATTGTAGGTGCTCATCATCAAGGGTTAGTTTTTACTCTGACATGGATCCACAGTGTAAGGCTTAGAAAAATAAACTTCATCTCTCATCCAGTGTTAAATGGATCAATACATGTCCTTAAATCTCTTTAACTGTTTTGTGACTCTGTGTACATATTTGACCTCCCAAACTATATTTTGAGCACCCAGTGGAAGAGTCCAACTTTTGTAACCTCTTGTTGACCATCCATAGTATGAAGCCCACAGTTAAGTACCCAGTGGCTACTGACCAAGTATCAGTGATGCCTGTCTGAATGAAAAGACCTTATGTAAGACCCTGGGGAAATGCTGTCACAGAGCTTGTCACCTCAGCCCCAGTAGTCATGTGCACTGAGTGGATAGTCATCGTGGCCCATAGAGAATCTACTGCATTTGAGAATCTCAGAGAATTTGAAGTATATCTTTTCATCATGGAGGAATTTATATTGCCTTTGTATGTTCTGAACATCTTCCTTTTTGTAGATACGTGCTCTCATGATAATCCTATTAAAATTGTTTGTCATTAAAGTCTTCCTCTGTCGGGAAGAAGTAATCTTCTCAGAGCTAATTTCTTCGCACAGCTCTCACACCACCTGAGCCTTACTTCAGGAACCTCAAATATCTTTTTTTCCCCTTCCTTGATTCCAGGGATACATGAATAACATTGTGCAGGAGAGGCTTTCCCTGAAAGTTTCTTATTAAGTAAGTCTGTGTAAAATGTACTTTCATGCAACGACTCTAACAAAGTCTAGTAGGGATCATTTGGTGATGAGAATGCATATCCCCAAGGCTCAGATTTTGTCCGCTTCCTCACGTGATAGTGCGTGCGAATGTGCTGGAATATGGCACTGGCTGTGAGTTGGGGCCATCGTGTTTCCCTCAAAGGGAACTCTGAAGGACAAGGGGTGGCTCCCTTTGGAGCAATATAAACATCTAAACAAATACATAAACAAACATTGCGGCCCCAAAGATAAATTTGTGCCTTACATTAAACAATATCCTGTAAACATTTGAAAGGTTGGTTAATTTTAAAAGAGAAATTAAATATATGATTATATCAAATAATTTCTTTTTTAATTTGATCCAGTATTATAAAGAGGAAGATCCTCTGATGCATTTACAATCCAAACTACTTGACAAATAACTGAAATTATACACAACAGTTTATCAACAGCCCACAGAAAGGAAGCCAAGTGAGGAATAGTTATCTTTGTCCCTCCAACCGTGACTACTCTGAGAGTTGGAAGGGACTTTGGGAATATCAAAAGAAAGATTCTACAAATTGTGTCTAGAAGATTAAGAGAAGCCTTCGGTAATTGACATGGGTGAGAAGAATTCATGTTTCTTTTACTGGTGCTTGACAGTCTTTACTTAATTCCCTGGTTACACAAGTGGCCTTATCCAAAGAAAAATGGATTAGGCTTTTTTCCCTCAGATTGCTGTGTATGCCATATACTAATGACTTATAGCAAAGAAAATGTAAAGGAAGTTTTGGATCAAATAATGTATCCAGGAGATAAACAGTGACAGTCAAAGGTGTGTGGTGTGTGTGTGTGTGTGTGTGTGTGTGTGTAGATGTTTGTGTTAGGCAATGTGATTGCAATTGACAAGGCAATTGACAAGGTGGTAAAGCGGGTGGTGGTTTACTAGCGGGTGAGGGAGCTGCGTACTGTGAATACAATGGAAAGAACACTAGGTTAGAAGTGAGGAGATTTGCATTTTCACGTTGGTCCCTCCAGCTAACTAGCAAGTCACTCCAGTGCTCTGAGCCCCAGCAGCCTTCCTTACCTAATGTGAGGTTCTGGAGGGATGGTGTCTAAGATCCCCTCAGATCCTATCAAGGAGTCTATGATTTTAGTGATAGCTTGGGATTTGTGCTTTAGAAAAAGAGCAGTGGGGTTCTAAGAAGCTGCCGCCCAAAGCGACTGAGACAGCTGGGTGGGTAGTGCCTGTCACCTCCTCTTCCCCTTCCCTTCTCTCTTGGCCAAATTCCTTGCTAACAGAATTGAACCTCTATGCCCAGGTTCTAAACAGTCTGTGTAAATTCTAGGCTCCTAAGAAAGAAAAACATTAAAAGGCTACTTATTCTCTGGTATCTTCCCCTTCCCTTTTTGTTCCACAAGAAAGCACTTCCTCCTTCCATCCAGCAATTTAAGGTGCTAGGGTATGTGGGGACTGGGAGTGAGTGTTCCTTCTGGAAATCCTGGGTTTCCCTAAGCTTCACTGTTCCTGCTCATCCCAAGGAGAGACAGCCATAAGCCACTGTCTACGCAGCCCCCAATCCACCCCATTAAAAAGGGGAAGCAAAGTACTCTGCTTCCTGGGACTCACAAGTCTGTAGCGATAACCATAAGGAAAGGCCGGAGCCCTCCTGGACCGGAGTTGCCTTCTCATGGCTGTTCAGTGGGCAAAGACGCCGTGGAGGCAGCAAGTAGGTGACTTCTGGAGCTTCTGATGGTACAGGAGACACTGGTTACTGGGAATGCTTGGCGCCTGGCAAAAGTGAACCCTCCTGGCATGAGCCCTTCCTCAAAATAATCTAACATGCCCCTTTCTCATTGGTTGGCCCCTTCCCTGAATCAAAGGAAAGCCCTTATGGAAAAGCAAGCTCATCATTACAGTGGGCGGGGAGATATTCTGGGTCACAAGGTTGAGTGGCTCACCCCACCCTCCATCGTGTGTCTTTCCACCCCTTGCCCTTCTCCAGCGCCTGAAATACAATGGGCCCAATGGAAATCTTAAGTCATATTCTTCTCAATTGAGAGTTGGATATCAGTGTGTAAGGGGCGGGGCGGGGGTGGGAGTTGGGGGTGAGGGGAGATGGCCAAGAATAACTTGCTTTTTTCATGAGGCTGATCTCATGCAAAAGGATCTAGGGTGTCAGGAAAAACTCCCTTTGCTTTCCTCATCCCCCTCCCCCCACATGGTAAGTACCTAGAATATTCCTTATTTGTGTCAATCCATGAACACCTTAAAATGTGTACTGTGCCTTCTAATTTTAAAGGGAAGGATCTCGTTTTAACTCTTCCCCACTCCAAAGAGAGTCTTGGACATAAAGAAGCCTTTTCCTAGCCAACATGTCAGAGTGGCCGCATCGGTCACTGCCCCTCATACACACACCCGTTGGAATCCTGGCCAAATTTCTGCAGTGGTTGAGATCTATATTTATCCCTTAGCATCAGGGCAGAGGACAGGCCAGAAATTTGCAGTGTCAGTTTCCCAGACATATATAACTCCTGAAGCCAATATGGGATCCAACAAAAGAAAAATTAGTAGAAACAGCTTAAAATATCCTGTAGCATTTTTGGTTTGTTTGGACCACTCCACTGGGGCTTGGCTAACGAAAAGGTCTGGGTATAGCTTGTGATCATTCCTTTAGAAATCACTTCCCCCTCCATGACACCCACGCAGCTGAGCATGATGCAGAAACTGAGGTTCTGTACATACTCATAACCAAGGCAAAAAGCACAATCATTTCGATAGATTTAATCATAACACCAACTATCAACTATGGGATATTCTTATTAAAATGGCTTCAATTGTGGTTACTTTAAAATAAGGACTTCATTTACTATAATGTTACTAATTTGGACTCCTCTTTAACAGAGTTTCTCCCTAAACCCTTTTTTGAAGAAAAAGAAGCCACTTACAAAAAAAAGCAAAGCTCATACTCTTCTTTGGATTTTAATGAAAGAAAAATATATTCCAGAGGCTACCTGGTCTGGGTAGATGCTGAGCTCTATGTCTACATCTTCTCTGCTCCCGTATTTTGCATGATTCCCGATCTTAAATATGAGAATTGTGGGTCCATGGAAGATTGAAAACCAACCAAAAGGTGGGTTAAGTGGTTGTGTTAGTTACTTTTCTTGTTGCTTGGACAAAATATCCAACACCCACAAGTTAAGGAAGGAAAGGCTTATTCAGCTCATTGTAGAGGTTTTAGTCCATATTAGCTGGCTCCAGGGCAGGGTGGCATGTGGCACAGGGGTAGTCATTCATAGCTGTGGAAGACAGCAAAAGCCACAAGAGCAAAAGGGGGAAACAAGTCTCTTTCCGTCCCTTTTATTTTATCCAAACTACTGGGATTAGGGCAGTGTCAATCCCATCAGTGGACTGACCCAGCAATCACTCACCCTTAATCCCAGCACCCTTAATCCCAGCACTGTACTACAAATAAATCACTAACTACAGATTCAGCTGCCTCTGAAAAAGCCCCATCTAAAACTGCATGAGGCTTTGGGAGGACATCTAGACATAAACCATAATACTGGTCTTGCCTTACTAAGGCAGAAAAGAGAGTACGATCATTTTAGCAACATTTAAAGCACCAAGAGCAGGGGGACTAACGAGTGTTTGGAGTGACATAATCTTTGGTAACAAAATCTCTGTTCTTCAGAATCTCTCATTCCTTCATTTTGGGAATCAGTGGCTTGACATATACTTAGCATATTTGCAGTATATTTCTTTCTTTCTTTCTTTCTTTTTTTTTTTTTTTTTTTTTTTTTTTTTT